AGTGCAGCGCGTGATGAATATTAAAAGAAATCTAAGCCGGAAAATTGAAAATACAAGAGCGCGTGCATTAAATAAATAAATATCTCTTTTTGATTTCGAGAAAGTACTGGAAAATTCTAGCGCGTCATTTTAAAATCTTATAAAAGGAGGAAAACATCTCAGTTTGTAGTAGTTGCTTAGTTTTGTTGTTTTAGAAAACTGCTCTTGTTGATTGTAGCGAATTCGCGGATTAGCGTTCTTTAGCTGTTTTGAATTACGTTCTATTGGGACATTTGAGTAGTTAAAAGATAACTACTGTGAGATATTGTAATACTGCATGATAATTTGAGAAATTTAAGCATTTTGTTGTGATAATAATAAATTTTTGTTCATTTTCATCGGACTTGTGCATTCATTTCATAACGAACCCGTACGCACGCAACAATTTTTGGTGTCAGAAGTGGGATTTGAATGCCAATAACAAGAGGGATGGAAGAACAATGAGACAGCTCATTACTGCTTTTGCTGCGTTCCAAGAAAAATGGAAGCTGGCCAAACATCTTTTAAAGAAGAATTAAAGAGAAATGGATGCTGGTCAAAGGTCCGTTAAAGAAGAAATGAAATTGGGCCAGGAATCCCTCAAGGAAGAAATGAAAACGGACAGGAACAATGAAATGGGCCAAGAATCCGTTAAGGAAGAGATGAAGGCCATTCAAGCTGGTCAATAACTTTTAAGACGAAAAAAAGTTGTTAAGGAATCGTAAAGAAGAAATAAAAGCTGGACAAGTCAAGATGAAGAAAGTCAATACGAAATGAAAAGAGAAATTGCCTGCATAATAGAAACCAAATTCGATGCTATGGAAGGCAGAATAGATGTGGTTGAGATAAAGTGGGACAAATTGAAGAAAATGTTTCTTCCGTTAAAGAAGAAATAGAAGGAAGAGTATGTTCGTTCAAAAAAATCGAACAACAAATTGATGACCGGGTTTCTGCGGTTGCCAAAGAAATGGACACTTTAAAGAACTTCGTAGCGACGGCGGGGAGCAAGAGTGATGATTTTAAATTCTTTACCCATGCCTGCTCGTCCCTCTCCTGAAGCTATCCACATATGATGGGAAGACCTCCTGGCAAGTGTATAAGACACAATTTTCTAATCGTGGCGGATGCGAAATGGATGGGATTCCCAAGCTAAGGCCTGTCATCTCGCCGCTTCTCTGAGAGCAGACGCAGCGGATATCCTGCAGACGTCTTCCAGAAAATCAAAGGCTAGATTTTCGAAGCTCTTATCCTGGAACGCTTGGAGCTGCGCTTTGGCGAAAAATGTTTAAAAGACTACAGCAGGCTTCAATTAAAATCCCGTCAACAGAAGCCCACCGGAAACACTTCCAGGAGCTCGCCACGGATGTTGAAAGGCTGTCCCATCTCGCCTTTCGGAGTGCCCGACAGAAATAAGGGAAAATCCTGTCCGCTGCAATATTTCATCGATGGCAAAATCCAGGGATCTCTGAAATACAGAAAGCACTGCGAATGGCGGATGTTAAAGGATCATGAAAAAGCGCTTTAGTGTACGCTATGAAATTCGAGGCAGCCCAGCAAGGCAACTCTGTAGAGATCGCTTCACCCAGTCAGAGCTGTGCGAGTCCATGAGCCAGTGGACCAATTGATGGCTCGTTTAGAATGATTTATCCAGACAAGTCGATGCTTTGATACGGAGTAGGAGTGAGAACAAAGTGGCTGTCAAGTGTTGGAGATGTGGTTCTGAAGGTCACCTAACGACGGAAATTGCAGAACACAACCCCAGGGCACGGATAAATAAAACAAGGATGAGTTTGACAAGACCAGTGAAGGCTTTAAGACGGAACAGTGGTGAAACGAAACCGACCCTAAAGTGCTGGAATGCGGTGTTGAAGGCCACCTAGCGAAGGAACTGCAGAACTCCCCAGAGCACGGAAAATAAGGCAGATACGATTTAAACAGACAATTAAATGCCACGGGAAGTGAAAAAAGGAGTGACAAGGAAGCAAAAATGCTGGAACTGTGGAGCTGAAGGCCACGTACGAAAGGAATTGCAGAACACCCCCAGGGTACGGAAAATTGACACATCATTTCCCAGCAACGACGCAGGAAACAAAATTAATGACCATATCAAGGAACGGAGGTTGCCAGATAATGAAAAAACCCTGTTTTAAAGCGCTTAAGATCTTCTATAGTGAGTGGCAACAATAACGGACTGTCCATCAATGGGAATATCGATGGAGTTTCCTTGCAATATGATCATTGACACAGGAGCTAATGTTACCATCATTAGGAAAGATTTAGCTGAACAGTTTAAAGATAAACGTATTTGGACGCCATCCTGTGTTACCCTTCAGACTGCGTCTGGTGATAAGATCGACATAATTGGGAAGTTAAACGTAAGCATCACGTTTGGAAGTGCCGCCTACCATCACACGGCATATGTGGCGGATATCACAGATCCATGCATACTCGGATTGGACTTTTTAAGGAAATACAATTTTTCCTTAGACCTGAAAAACAACAAACTGCTTCCAGCATCTGATGGCATGACTATCCATCCTCAAAAGGGATCCTCGCCTGGAAATGTCGACGCCTTGTCCGAAAGATCGAGCTCGGGAAGCTGCCGAAATCATACTAGGGTCGAAAAGAAACGCAAGACTACCAACTGTTCTCCATCACAAATGCTCCTCGGTAGTGACCTTCGTCTGCCTTGTGACCGCCTGTTTGATCGACATACGGATGCGCCTTCATCGCCTGAGGAATACATCCAAGATGTCCAGTCCCGTTTTGAAGTGATGCACCGTTCCGTACGAAAGCGAGTCAACCTGGCGACGGAGAAAGTGAAGTCCAGGTACAACACGAGAGCTACTGAACATCAATTCCACGAAGGAGACAAGGTGTGGTTGTGGAATCCGACTCGATGGAAAGGACTTTGTCCGAAATTACAGTCACCTTGGGATGGCCCGTACACAGTCCTAAATAGGCTGAATGACGTCGTGGTTCGGATTCGTAAGTCTTCGAACTCTAAACCTAAAGTCGTTCATTACGACAGGTTAGCTCATTACTATGGCCATAGTACGTAATGTAAATAATTGTAAATAGTATCAGACCATGGTCCTGTTTGTTTTTAAATGTGTATTTGATTTGATTTGTATTTAGTATTTGATTTGCATTTAGTATTTGATTTGTATTTGATAGCATTTGATTTGTTTTATTTATTGCATTTATTGTTCATGTTGTTTATTATTGTAATCTAATGCTTATTAATGCATTTATGCCACAGTTTAAGTTTAGCTTCCTGTCCATGGATTGTACTGCCCGGGACGTGCAGTCCTTGGGAAGGGGGCAAGTGTTACGAATTTGGTATTTAAAAAAGCTAATGTTAGTTCAATTATAAATTAAATGGTTTTATTCTCGCGCAGTGCAGCGCGTGACGAATATTAAAAGAAATCTAAGTCGGAAAATTGAAAATACAAGAGCGCGTGCATTAAATAAAATAAATATCTCTTTTTGATTTCGAGAAAGTACTGGAAAATTCTAGCGCGTGATTTTAAAATCTTATAAAAGGAGGAAAACATCTCAATTTGTAGGAGTTGCTTAGTTTGTTGTTGTTTAGAAAACTGCTGTTGTTGATTGTAGCGAATTCGCGGATTAGCGTTCTTTAGCTGTTTTGAATTACGTTCTATTGTACATTTGAGTAGTTAAAAGATAACTACTGAGAGGTATTGTAATACTGCATGATAATTTGAGAAATTTTAAGCATTTTTGTTGTGATAATAATAAATTTTTGTTCATTTTTCATCGGACTTGTGCATTCATTTCATAACGAACCCATACGCACGCAACAATATTTTGAAGAAAGTGTTGCATTTGGTCTTCAACTAACAGGAAAAATGAGCTATGTTTTTAAAATTTAATGAAGGATTTGTCGAAGATGAGATGAAGTTTCTGAAAGGCGTTGATTCGAATGAATAAGGTAACAATAATTACGAAAGGTGGAAGAAGTGTTGAAAACTACTATGATATGCTTCGAGAGTTTAAAAAAAAAAAAAAAAAAAACTATTCTGCCAGACTTTATTGCACAGAAGTCTGAGCCAACACAGACCTCAGTTGCAATGAAAGAATATAATATTATATATATATATATATATATTAGTCATAATAACCTCTGAATTCCACAAATATGCCATAAATCTTAATTCCATTCACATTAAAATTTTTAAGTGCAAATGAACGTAATCTTTTTATTAGTCCAAAGGGACCTTGTCCCTGAAGGATTATTGTTTTCGTTTTGCGATTTTGCGCTGGTTCACTATAAATGACCGTTTCACTTTTGTAACTGTTGCCACCAAATGTTAGAGTCCTGCCAAAATGTTAGAATATTTGAAGAAATTAAATAATGAAAAATGTGTATAAATGTATGCATATTTCTCGCATTGTGTACGGTAGATAGAGCCATCGAATTTTGAATGACGTAATCCTACTGCGAATATGGGCATGTGGAAGACCAAATATGAAATTTGGAATTTGTTTTATTATCGATTTTATATTTTGTATGACTTTAACAAATTTTTGGTTAACAAACTCAAGGATTTCAAAGCGAGCAATGCAACGTTGTACAGAAAAAACATTTTTATCTCCAGCGCGCGAATCTTTGCGTCAGAAATTTTAAAGATATGCTCATTTTAAAACTATTCTGCGATATTGCTGTTTAACTGAATTTTGTGGCTTAAGTGCGAAGAACGTGATATTTAATAAATAAATGTAACAGGCAAAATGTTTAAAAAACGCCCCTCTGGACGTAATTTAAAATCTAAAACCTTTCAGATTTTTTTTTTTGAATGAAATTTAATTGTTCTCTACAACCTTCTCTATTTTAACATTATGTCTATCAAAAATTTTGCCTTAACTAATGCTATGTTGATGATAGTCGTTATCTAGATACGCGTTATATACGCAACCTACAAATATGTGCATATTACAACTTCATATTCTCTTTTTAGTTTTCCTGAAGTCAATTTGGCTTTTAATGGCATCGGACCACAACAACTCGATGCAGACTTGTCTCTATCGCCTATCATTTTGCTGCATGGTTTAGTATCTTCAAAAGATACATGGAACCATGTAATGCGACCACTCGCTGACGGGACAGGTCGAAAGGTAAATTCTCAGTTTCTAATTATAACGAGCATATGGATAATTTTAAAGGACCATTATTTTACTTATTTGGTCAAATCTAAATATACATTATTTCATAATTCTTTTGTCTTAGTAGCAGTTAAGAGAATGGAAATCTTAAAAAATTCATTGGGATTTCTCTGGAAGAAGAGCAGTATGCTGGACAATACCATTCCTGTAACTAGAAGAAAACATGGGAGAAAGGTCTTAATTCTTCAAATGGTTTCTTCGGCTAAATCGCAGAATAGGCTGCATCAGTCGATGCTGTGTTTACTTCTCTTATGCTTGGACACGCCTTTTTTATGACGTAATATTGGTTACGCCTCTCCTTAAAAACAAGTTATAAGTATGCTATAGCTTCGTATTTAAAGAAAACTTAAATGAAGTTTTAACTGAGTTGAAATGGTAGGTTTATTATGTTCTGCGCGAGGTTTTTTTTAATTATAAATCTACTTTTGTGTGGTGTGTGGTAGTGTTAGCATTTAACGGCAACGAATTATCTCTGACAAATGTATTATTAAGATACCAAACGATTGAAAACGATCATTACCAAACGATTGAAAATAATGAATGCATGAGTTAAAAATTATAACCGTAACTTCTGAAAATACAGAAAAGAGATCTTTTGCTTAAAGAATGTTTTGATTATTGATGAGTGTGTCAAAATCGGTGCTTACTGCAGAAGGGATGAGTATCTGAATCTGGATTTTTTTAATCAGTTGGAGCGAAGAGGCAAAAAGAACGTTATTGAATGGTGTATGGAAAAAAGTTTGATTGCAATATCGTATAAGTGCCCAATTTGTGGAACAAATATGAAACTAGTAGAGAGACGGTTTTGAGACGTACAGACGATTTTGAGTGGTGCGCAATGCCGAGTTTGTGCAACACTGAGATGTTTTTTTAAGTAAAAATTGATCGATGTGCACATGGGCAAACGCAATGCTGTGCGCGATGCCGAGTTTGTGCAATTCTGTGATTTTTTAAGTGAAAATAGATCGATGTGTACATGGACAAAGCCAATGTGGTGCGCAATGCCGAGTTTGTGCAATTCTGGCATGTTTTTTTAAGTGAAAATACATCGATGTGCACATAGGCAAAGCCAATGTGGTGCGCAATGCCGACTTTGTGCAATTCTGGGATGTTTTTTTACGCGAAAATAGATCGATGTGCACATGGGCAAAGCCAATGTGGTGCGCAATGCGGAGGTTGTGCGCGAAGCCGAGTTTGTGCAATTCTGGGATGTTTTTTGAAGTGAAAATAGATCGATGTGCACATGGGCAGGCCAATGTGGTGCGCAATGCCGAGGTTGTGCGAGATGCCGAGGTTGACACGCAGACGGGAACCAGTGAACATCTTACTATTAAGATTGCTGTTGCATACAAGATATTACAAAAACATAGTTATCAAACATTTAGATGTGATGTACAAAGAGAAACTTTCAGTTAAGAGTAGAATAGGCATATTAAATGCTAATAGCTGTATTACAATTAATATAAACTATTGAGTTAAAATTGTTCAATCATAGAAACTGTGATACAAAGGAAGTGCCTGTTACTAGGCTCTATTGAGCTGTGTATGTGATGTATGTGACCTTTGCCAAGGACGAGTTGTTGTTGCGTCCTCTTGGCAAGATGGCTGACGTAAAAAATCAGAGTCAACAGTACAAAATTACATAAGATATTACGATTTAACTAACAATGCTTTTACATGAATTATCAAAGATATTAGGAAAATACACAGCTCAATAGCAAGTTAAAAATTTGCCTACTTTGGTAATGATGAGATGAACTTGTTACAACGAGGTAATCCAAAGAAATGAATTTTACACAATTAATGCACTAATTTTGAGACTTAGAAAAAAAAATCCCATACACTTATCCTATGCTTCACAATGCTGTAAACACGCAATGAACGCTGACAATGGACACAACAATAGACGAATCACAAGAACACTTATTACTTGAAAACTACTGCACGCAGAAACACAAAACTTATGTCGAAGTGCTCCACTAACACTTAGACAACTGATTATCAACTTTGTTTGCACTTTTAATTAGGAATTTCCGCTAATTACGAAAGATAATCCAGGAACTTCAACACACACGTCTTTCCTCCTCGGCGGAGGGATGGGCTCTCTTGTGTACATGGGCAGAGCACTACAGACCAGGCTTCCGGCCTCAGGTATAACCAATCGGAATAGTGCCTGACCTGTAGAAATTATCTACTATCTACTTCCGCCACTGCCAGGGCGAGCCCCGCAAACCAGCGGCATTTATTGAGTCTAAGTCAGAAGTTACCGATTCACAGTAATGGTTGTTACAATGGCACCTTTGCAGACGTTGTCTGCTACATGAAAAGATGTAAGTGCTGTACTGAGCTGAGTATTATTCATACGCGCGTGTAATTACAATTGCTCTGATTGTGTAATGTTCCATCGGCAGTAATGGGTTAAGAGCACTGCGTGAAATTTAGTACATTGAGTTAGTAAGGTGTCCGGACTTCACTACAAATCATTATTGGTGAACTTGGCTTAATCTATGCTGCGTATCTGTCCGTGTCACATACTAAAGACATACTGTACATACATACATACATAGCATGATGTTATACATAGCATGAAGATTACATACATAGCATGAAGATTATACATAGCACTAAAAATTACACATAGCATTAAAAAAAATATACATAGCATCAAACATTATTACTGTTTGCTCAATGAACTTAGTACATTAACAAGTTATATAACTTACTATCCGCACAGATATTGTACTCATTAGTAGCTGTGCACACAGAATATTATAAACATAAAATAGGTCCTAAAGGTACACATGTTATGTTACAGTTGAGTTGCTGAGTGAGATTTTGTTGCAGCCACACGTTATTTACATATTACATAATATATGCGTTTCATAATATGCGCTTACATAATATATAGGATTATAAGATAAATATTTAAATACTCGAATGCAGAACATTTTGCAAATTTGAATTCGAATGCAAATTTGAATAGGTAAGTAAATGAATGATCCTGAGATACATTAATAACGATTAATAGTGAGTAACTAAAGAATAGTATTTAATACTAAATCTCATAAGTGCATAACAAAGTTCGCAAATAGTACTATAAGTTTCAAAATTTTTTAATTTAATGCAGAACATACAGCTGTGTTTCAGGAATTTTGTGCGGAAATCGAAATGATGCAACTATCTTATAACTATTAATACTAAGTAAGCGCATGATAAATTCTAGATTAGATATGCTTGCTTAGTAGGTTACACGATTTGCAATAAGGCATAATTACATAGCAGTAAAATAATAAAGAATATAGGGAAGTGCTATGGCTGACATGACTTAGTGTGCATTTTGATTACATGACACTTCTTGGTAATATGCAATAAAAACATAAGAGATAAAAATGGCAACATACTAAGATGAATGAGTACTAAGAATGAAGTTTCTGAGTACAGTAAGCAAAGCACAGAATACCATGGTACAATGATTAAACAAGCATGAAATTTTGTACAACTGGCAACACACATATTATTGATACGCATACAGGATCTTGCTTACATTACTTATGGCAATGCTTAAATATACATAATATAATACATTCTTAAGATAATTTGCTTATGAAACATACTTATAAGAGTGTCAGTTCATTACTTAATGCTGATGGGAATCCACTTACATATATATACGTTGGATTATGTATTTACTACATTCAATTTAAGTGGAAGGCATAAGATTACGATTATAATGATTAAATTAATATATTAGACACGTTAATGTGTTGACAACATATACTGTAGTTACAAAATTCAGATTAAAATGAAAGCATATGATATCAATTATAATAATTAAGTTAATACTATAAACACATCGAGGATGATTATTACAGTCAAGTAAAAGTCACATAAAGTGTAGTATTTAAGGTAATACGTTAAATGCATCTAACGAATAGGATAAGAGTATGATGAAAATAATAAGGACATAACAGTAGCAAACAGATATTACTTATCTGGTAGCAGGGTTATGCGCTGGGAGGTATTAGGTGACAAATGAAAAGTGTACCCTGCAGAACTTGATGATCTTGTGAAGCTTAAAGCACGCACCCCTCCGTTCTAGTAGCACTTTTGTCCATTCCCTCCAATATCTATCTGAAGGAGGACGTATGTGGTGCGCCTCTGTCAATCTGCATGTAAATGCATAATGGTCTGGCGTTCCGATTAGTCCACATTCACAGAGATCATAGTCTCTAAGTCCAAATCTGTGTAGGTAATCAGGAAACGGGCCGTGCCCAGAGAGGAAACGTAGTCAATGAAGATGAGTTGGAGAAGACAAGGTCTGTAACTTTTGGGATAAATTTATACGTCCTTCGACCTGTCCGGGGAAGTATCCCATCTCTGCTGCCATTCTGCGTAAGGTCGCCGCGTGTAATCTTTTTAAGATAAGAGGAAGGCAGAGGTAGAGCATGTTCTGGCAGGAAGATACCCGAAGCCGCTTGTTTTGCCTGTTCATCCGCCAGCTCGTTTGCCGACTACACACCTGTGTGCGCTGGTACCCAGCTAATGATGGGACGATAATTGAGTGGGAGGTTGACTAATGCCCTTTGTATGTTGAGTACGAAGGGGTCTCGGCTGGCTGGTCCTTCTATGGCGGCTATGCTCGACAGTGAGTCACTATAGATATAGACAGTTTCTTGGTGACCATATGAGAGATCGATTGCTTTTTTAATAGCTAACAATTCAGCTTGGTAGACTGTGTTGTTCGGATTGAGTCTACGTTTCCAGCGGTATTTGATTTCTCCATCGATCATTGTGCATAAGCCGCATCCAGTGCCATCCTTTGTTTTGGAACCATCCGTGTAGATGGCTGTTGAGTTCTGCCGACAGAGAAATGTCTACGTGTATATATTTTCCGCGAGGTTATGCTGGGCTGGGTGGCAGGGATAGTCAAAGATCTTGTGCATATACTCCGA